TAATGACCTTCAGTGGGATGGAAACTACCAGCACAGAATGAAGCAGTTGTTTGGCAAAACATCATATGACCACACTTAGTGATGCCAGTTCCTGTAGCGCTAGTTGTGGTCGGTAGGTGAGGACTGCAACATCATTAGGCATAGACCTCACACTTTTGCCCTGTTATGTTTGCCTCTGCTTCAACACCTCCTAGTTACCTACCTCCTCTCCATCTTTCCCCTTTTGGCCAGCCGCTACACTCAGCTACTGCCTATCCTTGTTGCCCCCAGCTAACCTTCCCTGTCTGTTTCTGCAGCTAATGAGGGGCATCTAACTGAAGCAGCTGCTGGCCCTTTGTGAAGCCTTGCAGCATCCCCAACTTCTCCTGGTCCCACTGGCCCATCCACACTCCCTAGCACCCACCCCCAGCACCTATGAACTGCTCATGCTTCTGATTTGAGATTGCCACCTTTTCCCACTTAACAACACACAAGATCCTAGGGTTACAACATCAACTGGGACTGTCATTGCTAAGTGATGTAGTCATGTGATATCATAGTTTATGACTGCATCTAGAAAGCACCAGATGGGGAATGATTAGTACATAGATCAGTGATGGCGAACCTTTTTTGGCTCATGTGCCTAAAGCAGGGGGGAGCGTAGGGGTGTGTGCATGGATGTGCCACACCCATAATGCGCGACACCCAGCACATATGCGTGCATGACCAGCAGTCCCCATTTTTTGCATGCCTTTTTGCTCTCCCCAGGCTCCAGAGGCTTTATAGGAGCCTGGGGAGGTTGAAAAAATCCCCCCGCCTCCCCCGGAGGCCCTCCAAAGGCTTCAGGAGCTTCCCTGAATCTTCCGGAGCGCAAAAAACCAGCCCTACGGGTAAACTGGAAGTTGAGGAACAGACTTCCGGTTTGCTCATAGGGCCAGTTTTAGCCCTCCGGAGCCTTCAGGGGCCTTCCAGAGACTTCCCTGAAGGCTCTGGAGGACGAAAAACAGCCCTATGGACAAACCGGAAGTGACTTCTGGTTTGCCTGTAAGTCCAGTTTTTTGTGCTCCTGAGGCTTCAGGGTAGCTCCTGAAGCCTCCAGAGGACCTCTAGGGGGCTGGGGGCTGTTTTCACCCTCCCCAGGCTCCTATAAAGCCTCTGGAGCCTGGGGAGGGTGAAAAATGGCCTCAAAAAAAAGGCTGGTCAGCTGGCCAGCATATGCATGACAGGGCAACACCTCATGTGCCTTGACAAATGGCTCCATGTGCCACCTGTGGCACACATGCCATAGGTTTGCCATCCCAGATATAGATGTTCCCCAAGATGTGAAAACAAAGAAAGCTATCAGGAACTCAGAACATTGGCATTCTAACATGAGCTCTGGATCTACAGATCACTCTAAACTTCCAAAATTTGGCTGAACCTAGAAATTCTTTGATGTAACAAAATCTGGGGCAAGATCTTGGCAAACCTTAATACTACATAGGAACTAAACATATATTTGGTTATAGAACAGGAATAAATGAAATCCAATTCAGTCATTCCCAAAGCATACATACATGTAAAAGAATAAAAGGCTCCTTTTTGCCAGGATTTTGTAGAAGGTGATCTCTACCAGAATTTGCCAACTTTTGTAAAATCTACTCTCCCTACATTGTCAGTTTCTGTTCCTAATTCATGCTATCATAGCTTGCAGCTCATGACTAGAAATCAGTTTACAGTTCTTTCTAGATTACTTACAATATTACTTTCTAGATAAACTTCAAAACAATTATTCAATGTTATAACAGGTTTTTTTTATTTAGAAGTTAATGAACAGTGAAGGAATCAGTCGTACCAGCAGTTAGTAGAGCTCTCTCTACTCAGAACAATACTAGTACCCTTTAGAAATAATTTTATTTTTAAAATTAGTTTTTGTTGAACAATAAGTAGCAAACATTAACAAGTAATTGGGTAACATAAATCTACATTATAGCCTTTAAAAAGTAAGTAGATTTAAACAGGAACATATTCACATGTACCGCATTGTATAATGCTATGGATAGTTTGTTTCAATTAATACAAAATTTACCAGAGTTTGATAGAATTGTGATCCCTGCTTCTGATGTTTATTTATTATTTTATCAGCAGCCTTTTTATAACATGGCAACTGAAGAGACTTTAGTAATCCATATCTCAATTGTTAGATTATTGAATGTTTTCCAGTGTTGAGCAATTATTTAGCTATCAAAATTAAGAAAATAACAGGTGCCTTTATTGTAAAAATAAGGTTTAATCCCACAAATAAATAGCACTATCTACATTTAGAGTTAACTAAAAATATAGAAATAAAAGACTAACTTTTTAATACACACTTGTACTGTAGTTTTAGCCAACAAGCAATTCTGTAAAAATAAGACCTATCTACCACAATTCTTACAACATTTTCTAATTTACAACCTATTCAGCCAAGACTACTGAGTTTTGTTTTTAAAAAAACTATAAGAAAAACAACGTACTTTCCAGGTTTCTGTAGCATATGTGCCTTATACAGTAGTTAAATGAAGCACATCAACAATGCGTACAGCTGTCACACAACACAGGTATAAAACAAAATGCAAATGTGGAAGTGGAAAGAAACTCATTGCTGTTTTGTGGTCAATAGTTGTATGTGTGCTCCAGCAAAAATCATAACAAATGTTTTATCTGTTTCAATATGTTTTATGGCAATACAACAAACAATTTACTTTATCAGTTCTATAGTATATCATACATGATAAATAGGTTATTAATAGTGCCATTCACAAAAGATTTAGCAGCATCCAGATACTGCTAATTAACGCAAATATCATAGCCCAGGCTCAGGACTCAGACTCTGAGTCTGAAGCTGAAAAAGCTGCTTCAGTCGAGCCTGCACAATGTCTATTCAAGAAGGACAAAGCCAGATATCACATAAGGCTGATCACCAGCCCTACCTAAGTAGCTGGACCTGTCAGGTAAGGACCCTGCACGAGACAAGCAGAAGGAACAGCAAAACAGAGGAAAACTGTTGGGTTACTTGTCAAGCAATGGAGTAAACCACTATTTTGCAACCTTGGTAGCTTGAAGATGTGTGGACTTCAACTCCCAGAATACTCCAGGCAGCATGCTGACGGTTGAATTCTGACAGCTGAAGTCTACACATCTTCAAGCTGCCAAGGTAGAGAAACACTGAAGAAAGCATTCTGATTGCTGATAGCTGGCTGCAGCCTTTTAAAAAATATTTTCTTTGCCTATGTTGCTGGAAATAATATCTGGCTTCTCTTGCAGTATAAACCCTTGGACTAGCTGATAACCTTGACAAACCAATTATGGATGACTTATCTGCACTCTTTAAAAACAAAATTCACAGGCAAGTCTTTATCTTAAACAAGACATTCCTTGCTATCCTCCTCTGAAATTAAATTGATAATCTCCTAAGAAATCTGTGTGTGTGTGTGTATATATATATATACACATATACACACAAAATCTGAAGCAGGACAGCATGCTGTGGTCTTTAAGTTCTATTGCTTAAAAAGTACCATCAAATGCAGCTCCCTGTTTAGTTCTTAAATATTGCATTTTTTAATTTGAGATTTGTTTACATAAAGATTGGCCTATTTCTTTTATGAAGAATAATTGCAACCCTACTGATTATTAAAAAATGTACAATATTTGAATACATTTATTAAATGCCACTAAAGGTGAAGTGTTCTAAACAGAAATAGTTGGATTCCGGCCTTTTGGAAAACATTGGGAAATAGCCCAATTCCAAGAAGTTAGAATAATTATCCCAAATATTTCCTTCTCCAACCAAGGAGACATAAAATATCAAATATCCCTATTTATTTTTAACTACAATTATTTGAAATTAGACAATTTCAGTTCAATTTATCCTTGTAAGGCAGCTTCCTGTTCTTCTATGTTCTGTACAGTACATCTTGTTTCTATTATTACTCTATTAAACAAGCACATCATTTCCCCTGTACTATACAGCTAACATTTTCTTTCTAGCCCCATTTCCAGTAGAGCCTGGAAATCAGAAAGGGTAGGGGGAAGTAACTGGATCATTTCTTCCATTAGCATCTCTAGAGGAAAAACTTACCACCTGAGGGTCCCTCCTTTGGCGGCAAGACTTGCAAAATGAACAGATGCCTACTTCTACTGGACTGAAACAGGCCGCAATTATAAAGTAACACACACACACACACACACACACAGACACACACACACACACACAAAAGCACGGGCTCACATTTGCAATAGTAGCGAATGTTTTTTGATATAATATCCGCCCACTCCCACTCCCGGCTCACATTTTTAAGTATATAAAGGGAATATGTCCGGAAGGGAGAGGAAAGATCTTTGCCAGTCTATTGACGAGAGTAAATCATATTCGGGTGAGAGAGGGTCTGTTCAGAGAAATGAGTAAGACAGACACATGGCAAGATTTAGCCGAGGGGAGGCCATAAAGCACATGCTGCACGGAAACGTGCATGGTTGGAAATGGAGCAAGAGGGGGCTGAGCTTTTAGGTAATCTGCATTTACGAAAGGGAGGAGCTGCAGGCACGAATGTTAGAAAATAATTGAATATCAGAAAATAATTGTAAACAGAAAGGTGGGAAAGGGGAAGGCGGAAAAAACCCTACTATGCCAGGTAATCGAAGATTCGGAAGAACAGAAGGTTCAAGAGTGGGCGGTGAAGGAGACCCGGGGAGGGAAGGGTACATGTCGTATATTGGGGGAAGGGAGGGGAGAGTAAACAGGAAAGAAACACGCTGGGGCAAAGCTGGCAGTCTGCCCCACTCTTCCCACGCCGACCTAGACAAGACAACTCGCTCGTTCGCTTGCCTCATTTGGTGCAGAGGCCTGCGGAGAGCCAAGGCTCTTGCTGCAAGCCGTTCGGATCTCTCCTCTCCCCCGTTGCTGAGGAAGGGAAGGAAGAAGAATTATGGGCCCGTCAGGCAGCAATGAGTGGGTTGGTAGGCCAGAAAGGGCGAGTCGCCGGAATGAGGTGGCTCACCTGTGGCGCTGAGCATGAAGTCGAGAGTGCTGTGTCGCGCGGCTGCCATAATGAAGTAGAGCCCTGTGCCATGCCTGGTGGAACGGCCGTGGCTGTGTTGCGAGTGCCACTGCCTGCCTGCGCGGTATGCGTGAGCGTGCCGTGTGTGTGTGTGCTAGCACGCGAGGTGGAGGCCGAGGTTGCCGCCGCCGTGTGAGAACCCGAAGGGGAGGGGCAAATGACTGGAAGCGATAAGTCGACGCCGAGGTGGAGGGACTGAAAGCGACTCCACTGGGGATTCGTGGAAGACGCGAGCGTCACTTCTCTATTTGCTGTTTTAGGAAGCCTGAAGGAGAGCGCTGATGGCTTTTGTTTATAATCGGAGACAGATTCACTGCTCCAGTAGTAGCTACTACTTTGCCTTCGAGGCCTTCCTGCAAAATAAAGGCGCTTCAAATAACACATTCTTTGTGATGTCTCGAATGTTCCTATTCTAGGTTCTTCGAATTTCTTATGCACGTTACGCTTCGTTTTATTCTATGATGGGTAAAGCTGCTTCACCAAATTGAGGCTGGGATATTGCAGACTAGGCCTAGTGTCCTCCTGCATCGCAGTTTTATTTTTCAGTTCCAGAAGAAATTCTGAATCGTAGCGTATAAGAACAATGTCCTTTTAGGCATTGTTGGAAGAATTATCCATCTGGTTCAGTTCCAAGTGGTGAGAAAAAACATTTGAAATATGGATGCTGATTGGAAAGATGGTTTAATGAAGCAGAACCATCCAGTACATGGTACTGGTGCAGCTCACCTCATGGAGTTGAGAGAGTGGGTTATTTATACCATTTTGGGATTTGAAATTTGAGCTTCCTGTTCCTGTGCAAGCTATTAGCTGCTGTAGGGGTCATAACTAACCTTGTAGGTTTTCTGAGTCAAGCTTGGTTGAAGCTTGCTGGGTGATGCAATGTCCCCAGGTGATTTTGTAAGGCAGTGAGGCCTGCTGCTAGATAATCTATCTATAATGTCCTGGAGGGTCGTGTCTTAATCCCATCATCTTGAAGCTGAAGGTCCTTTGTAGGCTGGCCCAGTCCTTCTCAGTGGGCACCAAATATCTGCTAGGAGCAGGGAGCTGAAGCTCTGAGTTTCTGTCTCCCTTAAGATTTCTATTTCTCTTTTAGGGGAAATATATTCTGTCTTTTTAAATATTTCCTAAAATAATTCATTCTTCTAGGAGAGGGATGGGTGCCAACTTTTTACAGTATGTAATATAAAATGCTGCAAAGAGCGAGATTGCAGTCTGTTTGCTTTATGCAGAGAACAAAAGAAACTGCTTACTTGATAAAGACCACAGAAAGGATGAATCAACCAACTTTTGCATCAGTCGAGGAATTTCTTCCATGCTTTTAGATGCCCTGAAGTCTCCTAGAAGAATGAATT